CAGTGATGAAATTCAACCAAAGCCCCCCTGATACAAAGCACATTTTCAATGCACTTTTCTCTCTCTGGAATGGAAAAAAGAATGCCATTCTGTGAAACACAAAACTTCTTAACTGAGTGGAAACTATTTAAAAACATTGAGGAAAAGCTCTGCCCCTTTTTCTCGTGTTTTATTTCTAGAGGATTGGGTTTGCTCCATCAGAGTCCATCTGGAACTTGCTCTTAGGTTTGGTCAGTGCCCTGCTGGTGTGTGCCCTCAGCCATCTTCATCCAGATTGTGCTGGCTTGTTTTGTCCAGCCCCAAAAAAATTAATTAATTGTTTAGCCTTTAGTTGGAATGTTGCAATTCCAGTCTCCCAGGGAAATGTTGTTATAAATATAATAACTGACATCATTATTGCAGTGAAGTGTTACATAGCAGGAGATGTGGGGCACGTGCCCCACAGTCCCCAAACCAGCTTTCATTTGGGTTTTCAGCCCAATATTTCCTTATCACCATGTCAGTGCTAACCTCCAGCTGCCCCAAAGCATAACCATGGCATTTCTAAAATATTTCCCATGACACACCTCTCTTTTTAATATTGAGAACCAATTATTTAATGATTTTTTTTTGAAAATTTTTTCTTAACTTCAGCTGTTTGAGACATTCTCCAGTCACCCATATCCTTCAGGAAGAATTTTACATATCTGTTTTGTGTCCTTGCTGCAGACTGGTTGCGTGGTTCTGTGTTTTGCAATGTGGAATGTGATCTGCTTACTCACCATATTTGTGGTTTTAGAAATCAGTTAGTTAATAGAAACAGGCTTGACTTTATTCTCTTTTGTTTGTGTTGTTCTTTTTTCCCTGGAGTTTCCCATGTGGCCTTAGGTAGGTCCCTCGAGATCCACTTCAGAGCTATAACAAAGAGTTAAATTCCCAGGAGCTGCTGCCTCTGTGGGTCTGTCTTAGCCTCTGGTGATGGAATTTCTCACTTTTTAAATGGGAATAGCAGCACTGTTACCCCTCAAAGAAATGAAATTCAGGTGAATACATTATGGCCAAAATTCACTTGCACCAAATGCTGGAATTATGTAAGCAGACAGGCTTGGCTTGAACAGAACTTTTATTTGTGCTCCACACCAAGAGTGGCACAGGGAAATGTCCTGAAAGCAGAGCCAGAGCAGCGTTGGGAATGCTGGTGATAGGCTGGGAGCTGGAATGCTGCTCTTGTGGAGCCAGGTACCACAGGCACAGCTCCTGCTCACTCAGTCACAGCACAAGTGGAGGCACGGGGCTGGGAAGATTTCTTAGATAATCACCCTTTTTTTAAAAGGCTTTTGATTTTTTTTTCCCCAAGCTGTGAGTCATCAGTTCTATTGCCAAGTCTGGGCTGCTGGGCAGGGAATGAGCAGTTTGCCCACCAGGAATGGTGCCTGGTGTGGTTCTTGGCAGACCCCTCCCAGAGCTATTAACAGATGTGCAGGGGGGCAGAGCTGAGGCTCTGGGCCCTGGCAGAGCTAAAACAAGAATAGGCAATGTGCTAATATTGTCAGGAATAGTCTTGCTTTGGCAGGAATACAGATTAGACTACCTGATAAATCATCATTTAAAAAAAAAGAAGTCTAGTCTTTGAGTCAGTGTTACAGTACCAGGAATCCTACTAAAAAAAAAAAGCCAACACTGGTTGGCTTGAGAAACAATCCTTTTTTTTTTTTTAATACAGTAAAGATAAAGGTGATCCCAAAGAGATCCTTATAGGATAAGAAATTAGGAAATATAAAGAGATTTCTGCTGGACTGTTTCCTTCAATTCTTTGTTAGGCATAGAGGTGGGGTGTGTTACTCTCCAATTAATTCTGACTCCAAAGGCATTTCTTGTGTTACCCTTTTAGAGCAGCAGAGTCCCTTAGAGCAGCACATGTCCCTGCCAGGCTTTAACAATTCCATGCAGTCAGTGTGGAGTAACTGGGGACCAAGCTGGATCCTGATGTTGTGACTCCCTCATGATGTGGGTGAAAAGCCGTGGGGAGATTCCAGAACTTTGGGGAAAGGCAGCTGCAGGGAAGGTGCCACCCTTTGCTGAGAGTGGGGAATGATGGAACAAAAAAAGCAACACGAGGATGGAGAGGTGGATTGGGTTGGTCTGGCCTTTGGAGGTTGGAATGAGGAGCTGAGATTGGATTGCAAAGGATTAAATTTGTATCACTCCCCTGCAAAGCTGGATCCTCTGTGGGCTCTCTGGGCTGACTTCTGAGGGTGGCTCATTGCAGCTGAGGGGAGCCAGGCCTGTTATGATGAAACACTGATTTTCTCCACACATCAACTCTGCCTTGCTGGGCTGCAGCAATGTCTGTGCTGGATGAGATTTTAGCAATTCTTCCCTTACAGAAGCTCTGCTGAGTGCCTGAGTCCCTGAGCAAGGGAGGCTTGTTTGAGCCTGTGCCCTCCCCGTGCTGCTCACTCAGCCCTGCCTTGCCCAAGGCTCTGGGCTGGGTTTCATCACAGAGGTTTGGGTTCCCTGCTGTCTGCAGCAGTGTCCTCATTGAAGGGACAGTGGTGGAAAAGTAAAATTCACCTGGGCACCTTTAAATGAAATCTTCACCCCTTGGTTTCAAGGATCTGGAAGTGAGACACCAGATCAGCTTGGAGCAGCAAAATTTTGGTGACGCTTTTATCTTCCACAAGTTATTACTCAGAAATTACTCATCAATGGGATTCATCTTGGGTAACCTTTAAACACAGAGCAGAGGATTAATTTGATAAATAATCTGAAAAACCCCCCAATAAAAGTAGTTTATCAGCAAAATTACTGTGAGGTTTGTTTTTGCTAAGAAAGTGGATTTGTTTCATCACCTGCCAAAGTTTTATGCAAATAGTCCAACCCGAAGCACAAGTATTTCTGATTGGTACTGTTTGCCTTGGAAGCTCCTTGTTTCATTACCTGGTGATGCTGAGCTGATTGATTACAATTGAGGAGATGTTAAATGATGGTCTGATGTTGAAATCTTCCTTTTGCACCTGTAAGGTCAGTCAAGATCAGCTGAAGGCTGGCAAAAAGGCCAGGAAGGCAAACAGAAGGGCTGCCTGTTTCAGGTGGGGGCAAGCACCAAGAGCAGGCAGATTTCTGAGAGAGGAGAGCATGGACACAGCAGCTTTCATTCCCATGGTGCTGTGTGAGAGAGGAGAGCATGGACACAGCAGCTTTCATTTCCATGGTGCTGTCTGAGCTGTGCCTTGTTTTGGGAGTCAGCCATGCAGGGGTTAAGGAGGGAATGCAAACAGAGGAGTCAGGGATGTTCACCCAGCCTGAGTGCTTCCCTCCAGGGGAAGATGTTTTCTTGGCACTGCAGCAGGGGAGAGAGGAGCAAATAACTCCTGTTGTACCCACCTGGAACTGTGACAGTGATGTTTTAATCTTTTGAAGTGAACATGTTCCTGTGGCTGGGTAAGAATTCGCCTGTGAAATGGCTGATTCTGTTGGTGATACATTTTTCCTTTAATTAAGTAGCTGACTTACCTTGACAATTAATTGGAGTGATGTATGGTTTTTATTAGAAACCCATGACTAATTTTTTCTTGCCGTTCCTGCTATCTTATTGTTCTTGTCTCCCCTCCTCCCAAGTTCTGCCTTGTGCCAGCTGTGTCCTCCAGGCACTGGTGAAGACCAGTGTTCCCTCTTGCTTACCTGTTCCAGATAAAGTCATTGTTTTCAGGTATTTTCCACATCATCTTTCAGAAATTTTCCATTTCATCACAGTTTTGTAATTTTTTTTGTTTTCAGAGTCTGGGATTCTTTACTTAAAAAATCCCCACCAATCACAAACTCCTCAAAACATCACCACAACACCCCCCACCGTGTAATGTAGTTTGCTTCCTTTAATACCACATTTCCTACTTCATTAAAATAACTGCCAGGTTAAAAAAATCCTCCCTGCAGTCATCCCTGTGCCTGCAATCTGTCAGGAACTCAAGTGAATTTTATATTTAATTACAACAGGCAAGATTCAAAATGGATCTGACTGAAGACATTTCTGTTAAAATCAGAGCAGCAGCTACAAGGACTGAGTTTGTCCCTTATCCTGCTCTCCCTGGCTGAAAGGAGCTGAGGCTCAATCCTCCCTCTAACCTTGCAACAAATGATGTGGACTATTCTTTACGTTTTTTCCACTTAGGAAGCTTTAGTCTTTTTATAGGAAATTTGTTTCCATGGGGGAACTTAGGCATGGATGAGTGGGGAACAATGCATTGTTTGTTAAAACAATTTTTTTTTTTAAGGGAGTGGGCTTGAAAGGAAGGAAATGTGGTTTAGATTTAAGTTTCTTTTGAAATTTATTCCTCTTCTTTTGCCTCATCCTCCCCACCCCCCAAGATACAAAACAATAATCCTAACAACCAGACCTGCTTTTAACCCCCTGTGTCCTCAGAGGTGTATCCATGTCCTCAGTGGCCACACCAGGTGCCAATATTCAAATCTGAGCACCTATTGGTTTGACCACAGCATACCAAAAACTCACTTCCTTTTCAAACCAGGACATCCCCAAACTGGCTTTTTACCACACATGTCTTTAAAAGACTTGGTATAATCTGGAAAGCCAGAGGAAGTTTAAAAATCACTGTCTTGTGTATCCTTCCTTTCCCTTCCCTGTCTGGGTTGTTCTCCATCAAGAACATGCAGTTTTGGCCTCAGCTTTCCTAGTCCCTGTGTTTATTTAGTCTGCCTCTGGTGTGTTGTGTGTGTATAAAGTTTAAGTCTGTTTATCCATGTGCTTAAACCTTGTGCTGAGTGAGGTCCTTGCATCCTGTGCTCCCTGGGCTGTTCATTCACAGGGTGGTTCTGGAAGGAAGAGCCCTGTGGGGTCAGGGGGGGGTGCAGGTTCTGGGGGAGGAAGCTCAAGGCAGGAATACAGTTTAATTTGTAATGGGCTGCATTTAAAGCAGGCAGTTGGCTGGAAATCTCTCTCTCCTTCCCCTGCAGGTCTGTGGCAGAGCTGCTGTGTGACAATCTCTGCTGCTGCTGCTGCCATGGCTGACCCCGTCCCCGAGGACAGCGTGTCCCAGGTCCCCGAGCTGTGCTGTGAGTGTGGCCAGGCCCACCCCTTGCTGGACAATCACCTGTACAACTTCCAGGACGAGGTGGACGATGAGCTCATCTGCCACATCTGCCTGCAGCCCCTGCTGCAGCCCATGGACACACCCTGTGGGCACACCTACTGCTTCAAGTGCCTGGAGAACTTCATGCAGGAGTACAGCTTCTGCCCCATGGACCGCAAGAAGCTCTCCTTCCAGCAGTGCCACAAGTCCAGCCTGCTGGTGAGGAACCTGCTGGATAAGCTGCTTGTGCTGTGTCCTTTCAAGGCTGAGTGCCAGCAGAGCATGCAGCGCTGTGAGCTGGAAGCTCACCTGCAGAACAGGTGCATTCCCCTTTCCATGCTGTTATTGCCAGGGTGCTGTGCTGCTTATCAGAGCCCTCTGTTCCCAGAGCAGCTCCCTAAAGTGGGGCAAGGTGGGACACCAGAGGAGGCAGGGTGAGGCTGCAGAGGTGGGTGGGTGAGGACAGTGTAATTGTGTGTGTGCTCTGAGCTGCTCACCTTCAGCCTGTCTGCAGATGCTAAACCTGTCGAACACCCAGACATCTGTGGGTCCTGAACTGGGCTGCCAGCTCTGGAGTTGTTACAAACAAACAAGCTTATTCTTGTTTCCCTTGTGCAGAGAAGAAAGGCACAAAGTCAAGGCTCTGAAAGCAAGGGATTGTGCAGTGCTGCCAGTTTAATTGGTCCAATTAAGATGTGCAATACGTAAGGCTTTGATTCAAATAGTGCAAGTCCCTCCAAGCTGCACATTATGCACTTGCTGAAACACCTACTTATAATTCCATTATCTTCTCTCATTCTTTTGCTGAGAAAGAGAAACAAATGAAAATTACTATGTTTTTTTTCTGTTCCTCTTGTGTAGAGGAAGGGAGACTTTTTGGTGCTTCCCTGCTGGCTGAGCTGTTGGCAGGCAGGACATTGTCACTTTAAAGGGAGTGCAGGTGGCAAAGCTCTTGCCATGGTGCATGGAGAACCCTTGTTCCTGCCTGGTTAATGATTTGCAGGGAGCGGAGCTAAGGGCAAGCCCTGCTGCAGGTGGAACAGAGCTTCCTTGGCAGGGTGCATTTGTCAGCAATGGGAAATGCCACAGGCTTGTTTCATTCAGCTCTGTTGTAGTTTGTTGTGGCAATGACATATTTAAAAAAAGCCAACCAGGGAGCAGGTACACTTAGGATACCCTTGCAGCTCCAGCCAAGGATGGACCCTTGTGATTTTCATTGTCTTCAGTCCCCAGGAGCTGAGAGCTCATGTTAGAGCCGGGGGAAGGGATGGAAGGTGCTTGGGTGCCCCTTTCCCTTCAGTGGAAGTTTATAATCTCCTTTATCTTGAGCAGCCCTTTGTCCTGGCTGCTCAGGCTGGGGCCATGGCTCACACCAGGGCTGGGCCTCCCTCTGCTCTGCAAATCTGCCCTGCTATCAGTAAACTCCTGTCACTCTGTAATCCCTCTGGCACGGCAGTTACACACAGGGGAGGGAGAGAGGCACCTCAAATGTTTACATCAGAGACCTGCCTGGAAACTGTAGCATTCTCCCATATATTCCACAGTTGTTTGTATCTTTCTTGGGGACAGAGTATTCTAAGATTCCAGGCTATTTCACCTGGGCTCTGGGTGCAAGTGGATCATCAGACTGAAAAAAAAAAAAACAGATAAGAAAATTGCACTAGGATTAGGGTGTTCTCTTGTTTTAAGTGAGATTAACTGATAGGAGAAGATTTAAGGAAATAAGAAGCACATAGTAACTTATTTTCTTGGGGGATTTCCCTGCCTTTGCAAATTGAATTTGTGTTTTGATATCTTAAGAGAGGGACATGTGCACAAGAGGATCATTCAGCTTCTGTCATTAAGTTCAGGGATATTTTACTGTTTGGAGAATAAATGAGTAGGAATAAACCAGAGGAAGTAATACTGGCATGAGATTTCTTTAGCCAGAATGTAAATAGTTCAGTTTAATTTGAAAAGTGACTCTGGTAAACACCCAATACTACTCATATCTCTGAAAGTGATGTTTTTGCAGTTGTCATCTCCTCACCTTTTTTATAAATATTTGTGATAAAAGAGCTGTTTTTCCTCACCAATTAGTGCTGAGACAGGCTGCTGATGTATCTGCATCCAATTACATCCCAGTTCTGGGACCTCTGCCCTCTGGGGAGCAGCCAGTGGGATCAGAAATTCAACTGCTCCCATTCAGGTAGAGCCATCACCTGCATGGCCTGGGAGTGCACCAGGTCCTGGGTCAGGTCTCATTCCACAACAGAAAATGCCCAGTCCTCCCTTGCTGCTCTTCTGTGTAGCTGGTGTGTTAAAACAAAGCCTAATTCAAAGCTGAGCTTGAAACTTGAGCCACTTGCTTTGTATCAAGGTACAGTTCACAGTGATCTCTACAACGTCAGAGCTCAGTGTTTGCTTATATTTAAGAGGGATTGTTTTCTTTATGGATTGTTTGCCAGGTAAATATTTAGCAAAGGAGACTCCTGTTTCTATTACATTCTTATTTTTCAATTAATTTGCTTAATAATTTCAAAAGTGGTAAAATAACAAGCCACTGCACTTAAGCTGATACTTGTAAAAGTAGAAACTGAAGGTCAAATGAGAATCAGTTTTATCATCTGAGAAACCAGGAGTGCACTGGTAAGATCTGGAAGCAGCTTCTTCCCACAGGTTTGGCGGAGCTCTCATGTGCTGGGTCACCTGCCCAGGCAGAGACAGTCACTGACAGTCCCTGCCAATCTCTCTGCAGGTGTCCTGGCTTTAAGAAATACAAATCTGAGCTCCAGCGGAAAAGGAGCCCCATTTCCAAAGGGAAGGAAGAGCCTCCTGCCAAGGGGGACACAAACACACCCAAGGATCCAGAGCTCCCAAGTGGAGGCTCCTCACTTGTGGCAGAAAGCTCTGGAGCTGCTGTGGTGTCACTGGGGACTGCAGAGCCTGGACTGGTCAATCCAGCTTTTGAGGAGACTGAAGAAGGTGAGAGTTTGGTACAGAAGTGGAACTATGTATTTACCTTTCATGATACACCAATGAGGCAATTATCTCAGAAAATTCAATTTTTAAGTGCCCCCAGCACTGTCAGACATCCTTAATGCTACTCAGCCATTAGTAGTCATGTCTTCACCAGAAGGGAGATTCATTCATGTGCATCAGGGGTGGCAGAGTCTGCTCACAGGCACAGAACTGTACAAAACCATTTGGAGAAACTCTGTGAGATTGCAGGGAGTACTTGCAGTGTTCTGTGGAGAAACAAAGGCAGTCCCTGTCAATGTGAACGTGGAGCACCTAAAGCCCTTGCAGAAGCCAGATAATTAGTAACTAGGAAGTGTTCCAGGTTCTTGTTAATCTTGTTAAGAAAGTTAAATATACAGTCAGTTTCCTGGAGTGGTCAGTACCTCCCTCCTGGTGTTTTTGTAGCATAAGTTAGGTTTTGATTAACAGGCAGCTCTGGAAGCCTTGCAGATCAAATCAGCATCTCCACTTCAGTGTAGCAGCCTTGTCTCAGCTTGGTAGGAGGCAGCAGCGTGGAAACCTCAGTGCCTTGTGTCAGAGTTAGGCTCAGCTTCAGCCCCTGTGCCTGGGACAGAGGTAACTCACAGGTCAGTTCAGTTCCCTGTTGGCCTTCTCCCCAAGCACACCAGGAGCAGGTTTTGCATCCCTGGTGTGACACCTGCCATCACCCTGTGCTGGGCCTGCCTCAGTGTCCCCGTGCTGGGGATCTCAGCCCACTTGCTAACAGCAACTTTCATCTCCAAAGTGCAGCATTGCTTCATCTCCATGCTGTGAAACACCAAACATTCCTCCTGCTCTACAGGGAGGATGGGAAAAGGGGAGCAAAGGAAATTAGAGGAAGGAAGTTGCAGAGCAGTAATTACAGCTGGGTAGTCCCTTTCCCTCATGGGCATCATGGAAACTGGAATTTATTATGTGTGTGCTCCTAGCAGACCAGATATCACAGGAGAAAAACAAATCTCTAAATATAGCCAAACCATACTGAATGCCTTTTAATAAACCCCAAGCAACAACAATAAAGAGTTTGAATTCACCAAAAGCTAGGAGAAAATGGGAAAATTTGTGGAGAACCTCTAAAGAAACAGAGGGGGTTTAAGCTTTTTATCTGACCTTAGGTCTCCTGATAGGTGCTTTCCCTCCAGATTGAACACAACCTGAATCTTGGGGAGCTGTGAAAAGGAAAATTCTGTTAATGTGTTGTTTTTTCTCTTCAATTTCCACAACCAGACCTTCCTCATAGAACCAGTCTTGTGGCTGAAACTACCACCATCGAGATCCACCGGGAGGATCCGGAGGAAGAGCTGGGGATGAGGATAGTTGGGGGTAAGGACACCCCCCTGGGGAACATCGTTGTTCAGGAGGTGCTGAGGGACTCTGTGATTGCTGCTGATGGAAGAATTGCTCCTGGAGACCACATCCTTGAGGTACAGAAACCCCCATTGCTTCCCTTGGCTGGGGGAGGAGAGTGCCTGGAGAAACTGGGAAATCTCTGCAGCTGAGGCTTTTAGAGCACTGCTCAGACCTCTGTGTCAGCAGCATTGTGTGTCTGCTGGGGCTCAGGAGCACTGCTGGCATTCCTTCCACTCAGACTCATATTTCTCTTGCATATTTGACAGCTTTTTGAAATGTAGGTCGTTTTGGACAAAGTAAAAGATTCCTACCTGATAAATTTCACACAGCAGCCCCATTTCTCTGCTCTAGTTAGGAAGTCTCATAATTGCCTGCTGCACTGTGTTGCTTAAGCTGCATATTCTCCGTGGGCAGGTCCAGGGTGAGAGCTGCTGACTGGCAGTGAGTGTCAGCTCCAAAATGAGTAAATGCAGAGCTCCAGCCCCACCTGACCCACAGCCAGGGCACTGCCCACACTGGCAGGGCTCTGTGGCCCTGGGTGACCGAGGTGACACCTTGTACACATGGTGACAACTGTTAGCACCTCCAGCCATGGCTGCCCAGTCATATGCCAAAGCCATAAATCCTCCTTGTCCCATGGGATTGGGCACCAGGGAGGGCTGGCAGCCCCCACACAAGTGGCTGATGAGGTCTCTGAGTTGGTTTCTCAGGCAGACCAATGGAATGACTCCTGTTGTATCCAGTTGGATTGTCCATGTCCCAGTCTTGGCAAATAGAGCAGGACCCACACTTAGGAGCCCTATTAACATCCTAAAAGACTGCACAGAATCTTATGTGAAACAGGAAAGGCAAAACGTTGCTTTCTCAGAGTCACTCTGGTAATTGCATAAAAGTGGATGATTCCAGAAGCTTGTAGACTATGGATCACTCAGAAGTGGAGATTTGAGTCTGCTCCATGCTGGAAATTAAGGAAAAGCAGATCTGCATTTACATGGCATGGAAGGAATGACTGAACATTTTTAGATTTGTTAGCTGTGTGGACTGTCCTGTCTTGTCCCTGTCCTCAGTTATTCACCAATCACAGTCTAATTCCATCAGCTTTCCTCATTCTTTTTTAGAAAACTTTGCTCCCTAATCAGAGTCAGAGATTGCGCAGGGAGTTTTCCATCCTGCCCCAGCCTGGCTGTGCCCCACACTGTGGACAGTGCCTAATTAATGTGGGCTCTGATTAGTGAGTGCTTTGTTTGTCTTTGTAGGTGAATGGCGTCAACATCAGCAGCGTGACTCACTGCCAGGCTGTCTCCTTCCTGCGCCACCCAGGGCCTGTTCTGCACCTCCTGGTGCTGCAGGAGAAGGGCTTTTCCAGCAGGACTGCCCAGCAGGATCCCAGTGCCACCAGCAGGGAGGTGATCCACGTCACCCTGGTGAAGAGAGACCGATCGGAGCCCCTGGGAATCAAGCTGATCAGGAAGACTGACGAGGCAGGGATCTTCATTCTGGATCTCTTAGAGGGGGGCCTGGCAGCCAAGAATGGGAAGCTGAGTCGGAATGACAGAGTCCTTTCAATAAATGGTCAGGATTTGAGGCAAGGAACTCCTGAGGCTGCTGCCCAGATCATCCAGGTGAGTTCAGACATGGAAATGGCTGTGAGTGGCTGCAGCAGGGCTCCTGTTCTGAGCCAGGGCCAGCAGAACACACCAGGGCAAGCTGCATTCCCCCAAATCTCTGTCATGGAAAGTGACTCCCCTCTGGATGTGTGGGAAGCACCACTTCCAAATGAAGATAAACACCAGGAGTGGGAATCCGTGGTGAGTCAGCCCTGACAGTTCTGAGGGGAAGCAGTGGCTCCTGGCACAGGAGTTCACCTGAGGAGATTGCAGCTCCTGTGTGCTGCTTGCAGCCTCAGCCTTGCACAGGAAATGCTGGGATGCACTGGGTGGATTCATGCAGCAGACAGGGAGGGATCAGGGCAGCCTCTTGTGCTTCCAACAGTCACACTGAAGGTGCTGGCTGGGGATGGGATGGGCTGGCAGCACAGACAGATCCCTTAGGGCTTCAAATCAGACCATTCTCCCCATTTTACCTGTATTTGTGAAGGGAGACTGGAAAACGTGGGGCACCTCGGGGTAAAAGCATTCCAAGGTACTGAATGGGTAGAAGAGGGGTGGTCTTTCCCTGTGGAATGTGCTCCTGTTGCAGCATGCCAGAGGTTTTGGTGGAAGGAGTGGGCAAGGAATTCTAGTTAAAGGATTAAGGACTGCTGCATGTGCAGCAGATATCACACAGATCAGTTTAAATTCTTTATCTCCCCAGGCGAGTGCCCCCAGTTTGTGTTTTTATCTCCAGATCCTGACACAATGCTCCTCATCCCATTCTGTTTATATCCCAGAAAGGATGTGAGGTCAGCAGGAGGGAGAGGCAGCTCTCCTCACAGTTATCAGAGCAGTGCAGTGCCATGGGAGAAAGAGCAGAGTTCCAGCACTGAGCTCCTTTTTCATGTTTGCTTCTGTTCTGTGGCCTCTTAGAATCTGTTTGCATCCCACAAGTGCTGCTGCATTCCTGTTGCAGTGTGCACACACAACTCCCATATGAGGAACTCTTTTGATCCCACTGGAACCAGCAAGCAAAGTCCAGAACTGGCTTCATGAGGTTTGGGATTTAATCTCTTTGGAAGTGACATTTGTGTTAAACTGTGACAGCTTTCCAAACATGATCTGTTCCTCTGAGGGCTAATTGAAATCCTTGCTTGAATGTAACTTTGAAAATCCCTCTTCCAAGACCAGGGAATTCATTCTGGCACCAGGGGAGCAGGGTGCTGTGGCAAGGAGTGAGAGCAGCAGCTGCATTTCTGCCATGCAGGGCAGGAAACAGCCGAGTGAGCACCGGGCCCTTCCCCAGTGAGTCCCTCACAATGAGGTTCTGTCAGGTGATCTGAAGGGACAAACCCAGAGAGGGCAGCAGGAACAATGGGAGCACTTCCCCTGCAGCCCTGCCAAGGCCAGACCAGCAGCTGGTGAAGTGTTTAACCAGAGATATCCTGGGGGAAAAATGGATGGGAGATGGTGAACAATAGATGAACAAAGCTGGGAGGGAAAGAGCTTTAACAACTTCCTGTGCAAGAAAAGCATCCAGTGCTTGTGTGGTGCAGCCAGGGTTCCAGCTCTGGTCACTCTGGGGCACAACACAAGATGCTATTTTGGTTGTTTGTAGCAAAGTGCAGGAATTAATCATCCACCTTTGGCATTTGTGGGCGAGGGAGGCACGAGTGAAGCCTGCCTCTACTCTGTTCCTTCTGACTCATGTTTGCTAATTCCCTTTTTCTTTTTCCAATCACATTCCCTGGCTCATCACAAAAGACTTTGCATCACATTGAGGAGCTGGTGGAGGAACAGAGAACCTCTGTAGGAACTGATGCCAGCCCTTCTCTCTCCCCAAGGCAACGAGGGCTGTCCCTCATTTCTAACCCATTTCTCTCTTTTTATTTTCCACTCCTTGTTTCTCTGGGCAGACCACGGAATCCAGAGTGAATTTTGTGATCCTGAGGCAGTCTGGGCTGCAGCTGGGGGAGCCAGGGGAGGATGGCAGCACCTCCAACAGCAGCAGCAGCAGCAGCAGCAGCAATGGGGGCAGCCCCGTGCACCACCGGAGGCGACCAGAGCAGAGCCACTTCAGGAGGAAATCCACCTACCAGAAGGTGGGGCTGGGACATGAGGCCATGGTGCTGCTTGCTCCTGGTTTAGCAAATACATTGTGCTGTTCTGGGATGGTGTTTTATCACAGAAGGCTGATCAGTACCTCCGTTTCTGCTTGGGCAGGTTTGGGGCTTTTGGTACTGAAAAACCACTTTGTCATCTATAGGGAAACATCATTTGAAGGGAAAGCGACAAAATTTATTCAGTGTTGATGCAGAGCTGGTGTTTAATCATTTGGAAAGGGCAATAAGAAATTTGCCATCCATGAGATATTTTGGGATTGGCTTCTTGACATCCCCCAAGCTCTGCACACTGAGGGTGTTGCAGTGACACCCAGCTGAGCTGGTGTGGGGCCAGAGCCCTTTATGGTCAGGAGAAGAATCCCCAGGTGCCCCCATGGTGCTGCTGTGACTGCAGAGTGGCTCTGCCACCCCTCTGGGGGCACAGCAAACTGCAGGAGCAAGAGGGCAATCAATCCCCAGTGTGCTGAGCCCAGAGAGAATTCTGTGTGCAGCACTTCCAGCTGAGCGACAGACCTGCTGCAGCTGCTCAGAGTGCTGTGTTTCAGTGGCCCTGGAGCTCAGGGAGGTCCTGTCCTGTGGGGCTGGAGTGCTGTTCCTGCATTTAAATCCCTGAGTAGCATTTACACCCTGTTGTACAGCCTGTGCTCTGATGTGTGCCTTCACTGCAGCCCCAACATTCAATCAGGGAGAGCTTCCCTGCTTGGCATGAGCAGCCCTGAGATGAGCTCAGAGCTTCTTCCTCAGTGCAGAATTCCCCTCCTGAGAGGGAGCATCTCCCTGCAGCAAATGGATTTGGGATCATCAGGACAGCACTGAGGCTTCACCTTAGAAATGCTGCTCTGTATTCCCACCCTGCAAGGACATGGGAAGCTGACTTTGCCCTCCAGCAACATTGCTGGAATGCTCTGGATGAAGGAGACAAATGGTGCTGGGCTTCTTCTGTTGAATGCATTAATGAAGTGCATTTTGTGCTGTCATTGCTTTGTAGGATTTGCCTCAGGGATATGTAAGTCATGAGAAGACAGTTGCAATAAAAAAGGAGCCAAAGGAATCTTTGGGAATCACAATTGGAGGTGGAAGGGATAACAAAAACAAGCTCCCTATCTATGTGACAAGTGTGCAGCCCATTGGATGCCTCTTCAGGGATGGCAGAATCAAGAGAGGTAAGGGAGGCTCTCAGACCTTTTATCCTGTGGGGTATTTTCAATGGAAGCTGGGCTTGGATGCTGAGAGAGGCTGGAAAAGGGCTCCCATGACCCCTTGAGGCTGAAATGGGCTCCAGAGCCCAGGTCTGTAACAATCCCATTTTATTTCATCAACAGGGGATGTCCTTCTGAGCATAAATGGCATCGATTTGACTCATCTGAACTACTATGAAGCTGTCTCAGCTCTGAAATCCAACGCAGCTTCCCACTCAGTCACACTGAAAGCCTTGGAAATCCTGTCCCTGAACTGCCCAGAGCCAGCCCTGGACATCAGGGAGCAGGGGTTCAGCTGGTCTCCCCTCTGGATCACATGGCTGGGATTGCCCAGGTATGTGTGTCAGGGACTGCATGCAGAGCTGTTAATGACAGGGTTGACTTTCACTCAAACACTAGAAATTAATTACTTTGTTGATGAACTTGGAAGCATTCCTGGTATTCCCGTTTAGCTGAAAGGCAGTGGAAAGCCTCATTTGCCAATGAGATCATAGAATAATGAGTACATAAGGAAATTCCACTGTTTTTCTGGAGTGACATCATTCCCACCCTCCTGTTGGACAGTAACCATGCTTTAGAGGCCCTGAAACCCCCTTTTTAAAAGAGAAATAGTCAATGTTAGATACAGTCCTTGCCAAAGTACTGACTGAAACCCTCTGGGGCTCTTTCTGCATCCCCTAACACAAGCCAAGAGACACCTGGGCTGTCTGGGAGTTTCTAATCTGATCATCTCACTTAGGGGCAGACATTCTTTCAGTGTAACCCTTCTTGGCTGTTGGAACTGTGTCATCTTCAGCACGAAGCAGAAATGATTCTGCACAGTTGAGTTTTCCTGCTACCAAGCTTTACAGGACAGGTTTTAACCTGGTAATTCCAGGAGAAGCTTGAATTTCCCTCTCCTTCCTGGAGGGGTGAACCTCTGGCTGCCTCCCTTTAGCAGTTACATCAAAACACTGAAAAGCAGAGTCAGTTGTCATCATCCCAGCTGACTGCAGGAGCATCTGCAGGTGGAACAGAAAGCCAAACCTGCTGTGGGAAGCTTGGATCATTTACAGCCTTGTTCTTTGAGACACCTAAAGAAGAACCACTCACAAAGCCTCTGTTGTGTTACTTAGCAGCCTGGAAAGAAACAACCCAGCCCAAGGCAAGGCAGCTTTTGTGTCTCCTGTACCCGGCCTGTGCTCAGCAGCTCCTCCCATCTCCTGTGCTGCCCCAGGCGTTGGCCTGGCTGCTCCAGGCAGGTCTGGTGTGAGCTGGCCCTGAGCTGCACCTGAGAGCCCAGAGCAGGGCACAAACCCTGAGCTGCTGCTGCAGTGAGCTACAGCAAGGCAGAGCCTGCCTGGGTTTCTTTCCTTCCTTTCCCAGTTTTTCTGGCTGTCAGGTGCCTCGCAGCCTCCCCATGCTCTGTGCAGGGACTGGAGCTTTCTCTGCTCCTGGATCTGCTGCCTTCACTTCAGGAGTGTCCTGACATCCCCTGCATTTAATGCATTGCTGGGAACTCCTTTGCTGCTGGGATTGATGTTCGCCCTTCTTTTGACTCCTGAAGCAAGAAGTGATTCCAGATTCTTTTACTCCAGCCTGGATTCTGGCCTTGGAATGTGTCTGCAGCTCTGGCTGTGAGGGTTGGTAGGAGCACTCAGCAAGGTTATTTCACTTTGGGATCTGACAGAACTTTCCTATTCTTTCCAGCACTAAAAAAGGGCTGGAATTCCTGTGCTTCCTCCCTGCTTCTCCCACCTCTCCCAGTGAGACCAGGTGGCCACTGGCTGGTCACCCACAGGGTGTTTGTCACCTGGGCATGTTCAGGGTGCTCTGGCACTCAGGGAGGTGCAGCTGCAGTGAGATCCCAGTGCCATCCCTGCTCTGGGGTGGTTCCACTGCAGAGAGCTCCTGTCCCACCCAAGCTGCTTTCCTTTGCACAGGAGCAAACCCCCAGAGCTGCAGGGGAATGGCCATTGCCCTGTGGCCCTGACAGACACTGTGTGCACCACACTGGCACAGAAAACCCCAGAGATGTGCCCAGACTGGAGCCAGCACCAGCTGTTCCACTGGGATCTGCTTCTGGTGGCTGCCCTGGCCCCAGTGTTGGTGTGTCCTGCAGGGTGAAAGCTCAAAGCTAATGGCATGTGCAATTTTGGGTTTGTTCAGCTTGTTTTCCCTCAGTTATTCCTCTGCCCCAACAGAAATATCCCTTTCCTTTTAGAGGAATCTATTTCTTTCTAGTTTGAACCCAGACTTGCTGCTGAAAGGAGTGAGTTGAAATGAGTGCTCAGGGCTAGGGAAGTGAATTTGATCCTTGCAACACTTGAGCCCCCAGTGTTTCATTCAGGCCTTGATTCTTGTATCTGTGATTTCTGTTTCTGTCAAACAGAAACCTTGGTTTCTTCCTAGCATTGTGTTAAATCCACACCAGCCACTGACAGTATAAAATACAATCTCAAAAGCTGGTTTGGACTGGGCCCATGTTCTAATCCAGCACACCCTGGATCCCAAAGGTACCAGAAACAGAAGTTTAGATTGATTATCTTTTCTCTCTAAAAGAAAGCACAGTGCACTGTGTGGCTCGTGGAGAAGCATTTTCCTGCCTCCCTCTTCCCTGGGGTTTATGTGACTCCAGTCTGCCTCTTCCCACAAGAACCATGTGGAGCTCCCAGTCCCACCCCTGCAGCTGAGCAGGGCCCAGGAACTGCCAGCTCAGCAGCGTGCTTGGCACCAGAAACCCCGCACCTCAACCTTCCCTAAACTCTCCCATTCTTTTCCCACAGTCATTTTTGATTGTGGTAAATTAAAGTTTTTCCTCTAGAACCCCTTTTTACTATGGAAAACAGATTCCTAGCAAGCAGCCGGTTCCAGCTCCTGGAGAAACGTGCCTGGTGTTTTTATTTATGTTCTGTGCTGACGCAGCCACTGCTGCTCTCGGGCTATTCATTTGCAGAAGCTGCCACAGCCATGGCTCAGAGCTGTGTTTTTGCACTTGTGTGGTACCGGTGGAAGGAAAGCATGGAGGAATCAGCGAGCTCCAGCTGGGGCTCCTGGTGTTTATGTGTGAAAAACTCCTACAAAAGTAAATTACAGTTTGAAAGTACATAATTGGATCTTTCTCCTGGTGAGAAGTTAACTGGGAAGGCTTTTGAAATCTGAAACTCCTCAGCAAACTGCTCAAGCAAAGCCCTTGAGGCAAAAACGTTTATTAGGAAAAGTTTAGCTGCTGGAATAGCTCAGCGGGTGATGATGAGCAGCAGTTTCACAGCTCTGGTGCCAGGACACAGCCTGAGAGCTCCTGCCACACCCTCAGTGTCACCTCGGGGCTCTGTGCCACCAGCCCGGGCAGCGCTGCCATCTCTCAGTGCCCCGGCTCCCTGAGGACACAAACCTCACTGCTGGAGTCCAGAACCAGGAGCTCTCCCCAAGGAGCCCAGCACAGAATGGACATCCTGGATCCTGCAGGAAAGCCCTCCCTGCTCTGGCCTGGCAGCTGCTGCACCTCACAATTGCTGCCAGTGGCGCTGAAACCCTCCCTTGTGCCAGTGCAGGGCACACAGGGGATAAAACCCCTCCCTGTGCCAGTGCAGGGCACAGAGAGGATAAAACCCCTCCCTGTGCCAGTGCAGGGCACAGAGGGGATAAAACCCCTCCCTGTGCCAGTGCAGGGCACAGAGAGGATAAAACCCCTCCCTGTGCCAGTGCAGGGCACACAGGGGATAAAACCCCTCCCTGTGCCAGTGCAGGGCACAGAGAGGATAAAACCCCTCCACTCTCATCACCTGTATGGGTGCAGCTGCTGCTCACTGTAATTTGGGTTTGTCTCTGGTGCTGAGGGTGTTCATTAGCAGAGTTCATGAAGTTATTCAGGAATCTTGCAGATCCCAAACCCCTTTAGAGCTGGGTGATTTCCTCTTAGCTCTTAAACCAATACCCTGCAAAGATTTCTAAAGGCCTGGCATCATCCCATTTGAGAATTAACCCTCAGACACGCCTTGCAAAGGAGTGTCCTAAATCCTAAAACCCAGGAAAATGAGGCTGTTCATAGCTGTGCTTTCTTTCCATAGGGAAAACATAAATTCCTGCTCAGGCAATTTTCCTCATAACCTCTCTGTTTTTGACACAGCTACCTTCACTTCTGTCAAGATATTGTCCTTAGTAAAGGAAACCTGGAAAGTTGGGGCTTCAGCATCGTGGGAGGCTTTGAGGAGAGCAAAGGAAACCAACCCTTCTTCATCAAAACCATCGTGCCCGGCACTCCCGCCTTCAGGGACAGGAAACTCAAGTAGGTGTGAGGTACTGGGGGACATCACCACCCCAGGGCTGGGGGCTCCACACTCTGAGCCTTCCTTGGTTAGGCCTTCCTGAGCCTTCCAAGGTCCAGGTTAAGGACCTTGCACAGTTTGGAAGTTAAAATTGTTGCCAAGTTTGTAACAAAGGCCTGTGTTAAGCAGGGTTTTGGTTTCTCCATAAAGGTGCAAGGAAAAGGAATTTACAGCCCTTTAAAACCTAACTGTGAAGGGTTTAATTTAGTAATTAGGTAAACGTAAAAAAGGGGATGTTTGAGATAAATCTTGGAGGTTCCAGAATGTAAAACCTCATGGATTAGGAGAAGTATCCCAACACGAGCAGCAAAAGCTCTCCTGTGCAGGAACCTTAACTGGAGCTTTGCTGAGGTGTTGGGGTGAGAGATCCCAGGGGAGGAGCAGGGGGGGCTGCAGGACCCCACAGGCACCAAGGGCTGCAGGGACAGAGGGAGGGGACACAGCTGGGAGGGGACACAGCTGGGAGGGGACACAGCTGGGTGCAGGGAGGGGACACAGCTGGGAGGGGACACAGCTGGGAGGGGACACAGCTGGGTGCAGGGAGGGGACACAGCTGGTGCAGGGAGCTGGGCTGTGCTCCCAGAGCTGAGGGGGAGCCCTGGGCTCAGCTGGGCTCCTGCTGGAGTGTGGGACAGGGCTGTGGGGGCTCAGCCCCGTGCACCCCTCAGAAGGGGCTGGGTGTGCCAGAGAGGGGCAGGGCTCTCTCCCAGCTCTGGTGGTGGCAGCTCAGGGCCTGCAGGACTGACCTGGGCCAGCAGGGTTTGACCAGCACAGCCTGACCCTCACTGCTGTCACCCAAGTACCAGCAGTGTTCTCCTTTTCCCTGCCCCCTGGTTCAAGGGAAATGTTCTTTCAAGGAGGAGCTGATGGTTTGGGGTGGGTGCAGGGTTGGTAATGACCCAATCCTGACTGGATCCGTCTTTGGCAGGTGTGGAGATGAAATTGTGGCAGTGAACGGAGTGCCAGCAATAGGAATGAGCAACTCAGAATTGATCCCAATGCTGAAGGAGCAGAGGAACAAAGTCACCCTGACCGTGGTGTCCTGGCCAGGGAGCCTGGTGTGACAGCCCCAGCCAACCCCCAACACCTGCAGGTACCCACCAGCAGCTGGCACCACCCAGGCCACACTGCCAGGGAACAGGGACTGTTCCACTGCTGCTCCTGGTGCACTGCCAGGGAAGGCTCCTTGCTTCCTTTCTATGGAAAACATTTACCAACAAATCTGGATGCTGAATTCAAAGTAAGGGTTAATCCAACAGTTGTTGAGCTTCCCAGGCTCATTAAAGCTCCTCAGGACTGGTGGAGCACAGAAAGCTCTTCCCAGGTTTCCCCACAACCTGCCCTGGAGGCTGCTGAGGCTTGCCTTGATTTTAGGGCTCTGCTTTCCACTGAGTATTTGAACAGGTTAAAACAGAGGCTTTAAAAGCAGCTACTGGATCGGTAAGGATGGGGACCCAACTGAGGCATTTCTGTCTATCAGGATTTCCAGGAGCATTTTTAGGTGTCAGTAACCCAAGGGATGATTTAACACATGAAAACCCCACAGCTGGTGAGCTGTGGTACCTGCATGGGGTCCTGGCACAAATCCCAGTTCAGGACCTGCCAACTCCACTGATTTATTGCAAAGGGACAATTTCAACAGCTTAAAGAACTCTCAAAGGTATCATCAAGAGGGGTTTCATTGAAATATGATGTTGCAAAATGTGACTTTATCAAAGGTCAAGGGTAAGATTCACTTATTGCACACAGGTTTCCCTGGTTTTAGGATTGATAAAAGCAGCTTTTCCCCAGAAGGGAATGGGCTGGTGTCAGTCACCCCTGGCCCAGCCTGATGCTGCTCTGTCTTATTTTTCTGTTCCCCGTGATGAGGGGCAGAGTTCAGGCAGGGGCAGAAGCACCTGTACTGGCAGGTGAGAGTTCTCCTGCAGTTCCCTTCATGTCCCTCTTGCACCTGGAGCAAAATATCAACTTATGGGATCAGGGGAAGCTCAAAGGATCCTTGGCTGCAGGAAGAGTCACCTCCTGAAGGAGACTGTGCCCAGCCTGGCTTCAGTTCAAACCCACTGTGCAGTTAAAATTTACAATGAGAGAATTGAAGGCCAGGCAGGGTGCTTGACCTCTGACACTGTGAAAGTTCCTACTTGCAAACTCCACCTGAAACAATCCCCTTTTTTAGCAGTTCAATGAGCAGCAGAGATGATGGGTTTTTCTCAAACCAGGTTGCACTGAGAGATCTTTGCTCCTGTGCTGCACCTTTTGCAAGGAGCAGCTTTGTGAGAATCCAAGGAGTCTGTCCCCTGTCCAAATGCTGCCTGGAATGAATGTTTAATTCACTTGAATGAATGTTTAATTCCTTGTAGCAGCCCTGGGCTGGCACTTTGTCATTTGCTGTCCCTGGGCCTTGTTCACACACAGTGACTTCACCTCCTGTGCTGGGAGCTGCAGGCAGGGACAGCAGGGACAGCAGGGCCTGTCCCAGAGCCCAGGGCACTGCAGGAGCCTCAGCTCATCCTGCCTGCAGCCCAGGGCACTGCAGGAGCCTCAGCTCATCCTGCCTGCAGCCCAGGGCACTGCAGGAGCCTCAGCTCATCCTGCCTGCAGCCCTGGGCACTGCAGGAGCCTCAGCTCATCCTGCCTGCAGCCCTGGGCACTACAGGAGCCTCAGCTCATCCTGCCTGCAGCCCTGGGCACTACAGGAGCCTCAGCTCCATCTCCCAGCAGCCCTGGCTGGGCTGAGGACACCTCTGGGGACTCTGCCACCACAGCTGGGGCTACCTGGGCTCCAGGGCTGCTTTCCTATTTTCTACTGGGCAATGCTGAGAGCAAAATAATCCACAAAGAAAACTCATCACTGACCTCGCTGGAACACAGAAACATGAAGCAATTTTTTCTCTCTTTCCAATCAATGTGCAGAATCTGTGCCTGGAACAGTAAATACTGATGTGGACAGACAGAGGGTGGTTCCCAGTGCCTGCCCCAGTTGTGGGGAAAGGGCAGCAGGGAAGAGCTGTGCAGCTGCTGGGCTGGCAGTGGAAGGAGGAGGAGGAGGCTGCAGAACCATTTTTACTCCATCTCCTTTCAAGGTGCCTTCAACTTCACCAAAATGTCCTCATAATTTAAATGTTGTTTCCAAAAATCAGCTTGTTAATAGATGTTGAGTTTGTTTTGATGCCTTTATAAATTATTGTAATATTGCTGAAAAATATGCATTAGGTGTGGTTTTTTACCCTTTCTTTCCATATAGTAACTAATGCCCCCAGAACAGGTCACTCAGCAGGACTGCTGCAAAAAGTGACCCTGTGGCAGGAAACTGTGTAATGTCTTTGCTTCTCCCAGGACAGGAGCTGGACTATCCTGAAATGCACTGTGGCTGGGAAAAATCCCTCAGCAACAGAAAACCCAGATCCCAACACCACTAAACCTGCAGCAGCTTCCTGCTGCCAAGTACAGATTATTTCCAACACCCCACCTTTACATTTCTCTGATAGTAAAGGCAAACATTTTATCTCCATTTAATGAAAAGAAACCAGTTTAAAACTACTTACCTCAAATTCACAGCTGCTCCTGGCCCCAAAGCCTGCCCTATTTGTGGATATTCTGTGACCTGGGTCCAGCTCATTGAAATAACACAGGAGGAGGGGCAGCCCTGACTGAGTCCATGCTGATTCCCCATCCCAGTCCCCCAGCCCCACCCGGGGTGCAGAGTCTGATCACCAATAACTCTGCAGGAGTTCTGGCAGTGGGTGTGAACAGCCCTGGAGAGGCACCAGTGACACCTGAGTGTGCAAAGGAGGGACAAATGTCCTTGTGTGGGGCCAGCCCCCTCCCCTGGGGGCAGCATTCCAGTGGAGCACCGTGCCTGAGCCAGGCAGGGAAAGGCAGCTCAGAGGGGCTGGGGGCACTGCCAGGCCCCCCTGGCACTGCCCAGGGCTCAGAGCTGCTGGGCTGGAAAACCCAGCAGGTCCCATTCTCAGGCTGGGGGCACTGCCAGGCCCCTCTGGGCTGGAAAACCCAGCAGGTCCCATCCTCAGGCTGGCGGCACTGCCAGGCCCCCCTGGGCTGGAAAATCCAGCAGGTCCCATCCTCAGGCTGGGGGCACTGCCAGGCCCCCCTGGGCTGGAAAATCCAGCAGGTCCCATCCCCACCTCATGCAGCTCCCGAGGGAGGCTGGGCAGGGCTCTGGGCCCCTCTGTGCTGAGCAGTGCCAGGGGACACAGAACCAGCACTCCTGAATCCTCCTCACCACTCTGCCTGCATTTCTCAAGTTCATCTCCTAAAAGCTTCTGGGCACTCCCAGCTGCAGCCCAGCCCTGAGCAGAGGCTGCCAGGAGGATTCCCTTGTTCCTTGCACAGCCGGTGGCAGCAGCTGGCAGTGCTGCAGGGGCAGAGCTGCCCAGGGGACAGTGAGAGATGTTCCCAAATCTGGGCTCACCGAGGCTGCAGAGGCAGGAGCAGCCTGATCCCAGCTGAGCCTGCCTCAGTGCACACACATTCCCAGGAGCTCAAGCACATTAAAAACTCCATGAAAACCAAATCCAGCAGAAGTCCCAGTTCTCCTCCTCCTCCTCCCCTGGGCTCTGCAGTTCCAAACCATCACTGCACTGTCACAATGCTGAACCCAAACCAAAGGGCTCTCCTGGCACAGGCACTTCCCAGCACACTCAAGACTTCCAAGATTACAATACCAAAAAATACAGAACATTATATTCAGAACCATATTATTTTAGGACAAATATTTCAGACAGTTTTAAATAACAAGTCAAAGGAAAATGAGACATTTGTGGACTCACATGAACAGAAGGGCGGGAACCTAATGACCAGACAGACAAAAACCCCTGAAAATTACTTCCCTTCTTCTTCCCACCCAGAAACATTTCTGTTGCCCCTTCCCCAACCAATACTAAATCCAAAGAAACTTTGGAATTTGACTAAATTTATTTTGGGATCTAAGGGAAAGGAATGCATTGGACAGGAGTGTTGGTGATACCCAAATAGAAACACCAGTCCCACGAGGGCAAACTGCTAACTGGGACTTGGTGTTCTCTACTGTACTCTAGGTTATTCAGTCAACTCTTAGTAAAAAAAGGAAATAAAATAGTTAAGTCAAAAGGAATTAAAGAGAAATTCATGCTCTTGCTGTGGATCTTCATTGATTCCCCACGCAGGGGTGTAACATGACAGAACTACCTCTGCAATGGATAAAAAACCAGTTTTGGAGTCTCTGCACACGCCGTGTGAACGCCCTCAGCAGCTTCTGGAAGCTGCCACATCCAGGCAGGCCCCTGTGCCCACCTGGAGCAGATCCTGCAGCTCCTCCTGGCACGCCCAGCTGGCCACGGAGAAATCAGAAGCTGATTTTGTAGCTATAGAGAAATTTCTTCAGGGATGAGACTTTTCACTACTGGACACCAGGCTCTAAGCTGGCTCCTGGATCTAAGTCACGCTGTTCTTTGGACAATAAATTCAAGTTGCACTTACTGTCCTAGTTCTCAAAAAGGAATGATGATGCCAAAAAGAACCAAGAACTATGACCTAATTGCATTAGTTTCAGCTGAAGCCATCTTCCATCAGAAACCATAGGATCTGATACACCAAAGTTCTCCCTAGGGACGTGGATGAGTAGAATAGCTCAGTGCTTTGTAACTAGTACTGCTGTATTGTCTTGTATCAAAAACAAACAAAAAAAGGAAGTTTAAGGGCACGTGCAGCCTCAGCTCCTGAAGCACTGCTGGCTGTGCCCCGGCTCGCCCAGTCAGCCTCTTCCCTTGGAAAAAAGTAAAAAATAATAATAAAAAAAAACCACCCCCCAAAGAAAACATCACCAATTCCATGCTGGTTCCACGGGAGAGTTGCTGCCGAGGGCTGTGGGGGCCTGGCTCACTCCTTGGTGTCCTGCTCCTCGCCCTCCTGGGCCCCGTCCTCACTGGCCTCCTTCTCCTCCTTGCTCCGCTTGTTCTTTTTGTGCTTGTGGCGCCGGTGGCTCTCGCCCTCCTCGCTCTCGTGCTGCTTCCTGAGAGGGAACAGGGGACAAAGGGACATCAGACACAGTCCTGCCACTGCAGGGAC